CCCCCCCGCCCTCCCAACGGGCGGCAGCAAACTATCGACAGCTCCTCTGAAAAATGCTTGAAAGGGACGGCCCCCTACGCCACAGCAAGGGGACATGCATTTAAGGACCGAAACATTTCTTACCTTTAAATAAACTATCTAAATAAACTTCCTTAAAAATTTTTCTTCACTGATAACTTTTTACAAGCCTTTCCCTGTTTGAATCTTTTTCTACACATTAAATTTCTCTGATTTAAACCACTCATAATTTCCTTCCCATCCACAACCATCTCCAACCTTTTATTCCACATTCTTTAACAATACTACAATATTTTACTTATTAATTTACCTTTCCCACACTTCCTCTCGTTCCATCCTCTCCTCTCCTTTACCATTTTTATGTGTTTTTTTGCATCTACGTAATGTAAAAAACGCATATTGACGAGGGATTTTCTGTCTGTGTGTGTCTGTCACGGTTTTTCATCTAAAGACCTATAAAAGCTACAGCGCTGAAACTTTGGGAACTTAATCTACATGCAAGTACGGGCCCCAATCCCCAAAATGGGCGCTCTTACTCGCGTGTCACCCACGTACGGGCGCGTGAAAGTTTTTTGCGGGTAAGCCGCTAACTCGGAAACCAGAAAAGCCAGAAAGCTGAAATTTTATGGGGGTGTTTCTTGGCAGTTTTGGTTGCCAGTCTTAATTTGTTTAGCTAGAAGCATTTGTCGAAAAAACCGGTGCCGGTAGCGACAAAAACTGCGAGGAACTATGCAAAAAACGCATCTTTGCACCGGCAGCCGGTGAGTTGGCCAAATATTCTTTTCTTATTCTTCAAACTCAATGCATTTAAGGGGGGAGTGCATACTCCTGATTGCGCCCCGCATGTGACAGAACAGCATCCAAATCGGCAGTATGCGACACCAACTCGTGTGAAAAGGAAGCCGGGCTGCAGCGCGGGACGTATCAACAGAGCACTGCCCGCAGGTTGAGGCCACCGGCGGAGCCCGCAAAATGCAAGCACTTACCTCAATACTGTCCAGACGTCGTGAAATCTCGCTTACTGCAAACGATGTACTTAGAATGGCCTGCATAATGAATGCGTCGGTGTTCTTCACTTGTGCGTCACTGGTGCTATCAGCTGCACCAGCAATGCTCCC